CAAACTAACTTCAACCTCCTACACCTAACATTTTCCATCTTCAACTTCACCTCTCATTCCTTCCAGCCTATACTTGGCGACCCATATTGCAACCCACTGAGATGAAGGGGATATAACAATGCTTAGTCTCGAAGGAAGAATAGAAGAAGAGCGTAGTGAGAAAGTTACTCACTCCTCTTTCACATCGACCCTTCTTTCTCTAACTCTTCCTGCCATGAAATTTCTTGTCTCTCATTTCATTAAAGAATTTCAACAACAAAGGTGTGTTTTGGACTTTTCACTATCATTTGATATTTGTAATATGAGATCGGGTCTACTGAGGCAATCATGTTTATTTAGGAACCCATTTTGTAATTTCACATATTGGGGGTTTTTTTGGGTAATTTTTCCTATTCTTTTCATTTTTACTCTTATTATATATATTTGTTATCTCACTACAATAACTTTTTACTCATTATCTCTTACTCTCACACAAGCTTTTCAACCTTTTTATGAGCAAGGATATCATTGAAGGACTATACTTATATCAAGTTGACTATATCTATTATTATATCAAGTTCTCCAATTATATATCACCACGTATCATATTTTTGAAATGTTAGCATTTAATAACATAAAATAAAAAAAGACACATTACCATGTGTTATTAGAAAACATAACATAATGGATATAAATAACTTGACCTAAATTTTTTTTTCTATCATTAAAATATATACATATATGTATATCTTATATATTTATTAATCATTAATTATAACTGAATTTAGGGAAAAGCAATTTGAAGGTTCCTATAATTTTCTTTGATTTTGAATCAGGTCCCTCAATTTTTTTTCATTTTATTGAATCCTTTGACTTTTCATCCTTACATCCGTTAATCCTTCCTGTTAAATGTAAACTAACAGTGTTAGAAATATCCATTAACCACTTTGAAGCTCTCCTCTCTCTTTAATCATTGCTGAACATCGACTCTACTCCATCCCCACCATTCTCCTAAAGTGTAAGCGGCTCACCATTCCTTCCCATCTCTTCATACCACCTTCCCTTCTCCTCGTCGCAAAGTCACGTAGACACTCTCCAACCCAAGCTCTCCACTTTTGATAATGATGCCCATTCACTCTCTCTCTCTCTCTCTGTCCAAATATATACATACGCATATCAGCGAGATTCAGAGTGAGAATTGTTTCTTATCAAACTCGTAGTGGTAGTTAAAAACATATTGGCTTGCTAGTTATGTAGTCATCACCCTTAAATGAGAACTGTTGGGTTGTCATCGAAGTTCTGAGCCAAAGCTAGTTATGCACTCATTGCCCATTCTTAAAGGAGGCTCTATTTTTTGTATTAGAAATAGAGCCAAACAGAGAATTCTATTTATTAATAAAAGTGCTTATCTCACGTCGAAGATGATAACTTGGATTTATAGAAGCACAAGTTTCTTAAACTTACTATATGGGGCCATGCTCTTACGACTATCTTGACAAAGAAGGCCACTCATGAGATCAATGGAGAGGGAATGTATGCTTGAGGCATGATCGCCCTATCATGTAAACTCTCAAATTAATTCACTAAATTAACCCTATATAATATAGAGGTCAACTTAGGTAGTCTCTCTCTATGAGAAGCTTTGTTAAAATTTTGAAAATCCTTTTTAATTAAGAAAAATGTGATGTAGGGAAGGAAGGAGTATGAAAGAAAATTGATCAATTTTTATAAGAAAATAAATTGAGAAAAATAAAATAAAAATAATTGAAAGAAAGCAAAAGGAACGAAGACTTTATCAGAATGATGCACTTTCCAAAAATCTTTAATAAGTGGCTATCATGGTTCAAAAGGATGAAAATTTTGTATAAAAACAATTACCAAGTCAAAAGGAAAAACCCTAGACAACATCTAAGTCATGATTAATTAATTAATAATTATACGTAGAGAGCTAGCATATAATTATCTTTCAATTAATCATTTAAAAACCACTTAACTTGTAAATTCAATTAAACAATTATACCTTGCTCCTTGAAGAGAATTATCTATAAAAAACCTTAGAATATGAACTACTTGTGAAAATATATTCATTAAAAACTTCAAAACATAATTGTTCAACTAAAACACAAATTTAATAATAATCCATAAAGATAGAAATCCTAACCTAGGAAAATTTATGAAAGCAACGTACCCGCGGATTGAAATGTGAAAACTAACAAATACCCTAATATAAATAGGAACTCAAGCCATGTCCTCTTGTCTTCAAAAACAAAGAGGATTAGCCACACATATGGCTAGATGACACCATAATGATGAAAAGGAAATAATAAGAAGAAGATAGTGAAACAACTAGATATAAAAGAAAGTCAAATGTATGCTTGTGCATGTGTAGTGTAGATGGCTTTGTGCTTCTCTAAGACTGCCTTGATCTCCTTTTATAATTCTTGAATCTTTCCTAGTTGGATGAGAAAACCTTTGAGACTTCTACCTTGATCTTTTATCTTGTAATCTTGATAAAACTTTGAATTTGAATTCTCTTGATTTGGTGTAATTTTCATAACAACCAAAGAAAAAAGCTTTTGAATTTAAATGATATTGGATAAAAAGATAATATTTCAAATTTGAATAAAGATATAATGGTGGAATTAACTAGGGTTAGGTTTTGGGAGGAAGATGAAGGTGATAATGTGGATATTTGAGATACTAAAGGGGTAATGGATATATGGTGGATATGACACGAAATTTAATAAAAAAATATGAATAAAATATTTATGCAAATTCAAAATATGATAAAAGAATTATCTTGAAAAGAAATTAATCATTCAAACTCTTTAATTTATGGTGAAAGATAAGAGATATTTTGGCTGGATATTTTGAATAATTTTCAATTAGATAATTGGAAAATTCTTTTTTTAATGCCAAGTGGCTGCCACAAATATAGTTTACAGGGGATCTATATTTTGGTTGACAAAATAATCCTTGGAATCAAAGCAAAAATACCTTTCAAAAAAAAAATTATAAAAATATAATAAAAATGCACTTTTAAGCAATTAATTTATATTCCTCCTGTCCTAAATATAAGACCCCTTTTATAGTGTAAATTATATTACAAAATGGGTCTTATATTTAAAACCGGAGGAGTATAATTTTCTTAATTCAAAATCTGAGTATCTTCTGCATTTTAAACCCTTAAAATATTATAACGTCTCTTAATTATATATGAAAATATATTATAAAATAGGGATACATTAAGGCCTTAGATTGTTTTTATGATAAAACCCATGCTTATGATACCTACTTGGACGATGTGTCTCCATCTCCATATATGCATGTATACGCACATTATATCCTTATGAGTCGCATGTTCTATAATTAACGTACGCTTGTACTCTCGAACTTTTAATCAAAGACAATGCTAGTTTGCTTGCGTGCTTTTCCTATCTTTCTTGTGCTTTTTCAGGAAACTATCCCTCATTTAATTGGATGATGAGCTAATCATATAAGTTTTGCATCATCACTTTTAATTAACAAAAGTGCTTATCTCACCCCACTCAGTTAGACCAATCGCAATGGGCGTCGCAGGCGAAGGTGGAGGATGACCAAAGATCGTCATATCATTGATAACACTGGAGTGATGATGTTGCAGCTGCCAGAGCAGGAGCTAAGTTGGTTTTGGCCTTTGGGCTGCGGTGAGAGCATGCCGGTGGAAGGTGTCATAGAGAGGTGGCAACCAACGATGCCATTTGCATCTGCGATAGGTGGGGCGAAGGAGACGATGTTGAGCAATGAGAACGAACGGGAGAGGTGAGAGCTTGGTCAATATAGTGGAAATTTTTGACAGTGTTAATCGTATTTAACAGCAAGGAGTGACAGATTTAAGAATGAAAAGTTAAAGGATTTAATAAAGAGAAAAAAATTTTGAGGGACCTGATTTAAAATCGAAGAAAACTACAAAATTTTCAAATTAGTTTTCCCCTAAATTTTCAAAATAGTAAAATTTATATCATCATAAACCAAAATACCATCATCATCTTTGGATGAAACCAAATTATGGTTTGGAGAATAACTTTAGGCAAAAAAAGTTATTTTTGAGAATAGATTTTGCTAAAAAATTATTCTGATAAATTGAAAGTGTTTGGATAGTTGTTATCATCAGAAACACTTTTTATATATACAAATTACTAAAAAGAACATAAGTTACTATGATAATTATATAAAAAATAGATTTTATAACATATTTTTATTCAAAGTAATAAATTTGTTAATAATATATTTTTCGCCAACATAATTAATAATATATGAAAATTGTAATTAATAAATAATTAATGTGTATATGCATTTATAAAATATAAGATTAAATATGTTTTTAGAAAAATAATTTTTTTTGCCAACAAAAAATATTATTTAAAGATTTTAAACATGAAATTTCATAACATTTTTTCACTGGTTTTTTTTTAACTACATACTACTTCCGATCTTTAATATAAAAGCTTTTTTATATTCAATTTGATCCTAAATATAAAACTTTAATCCATTTTTTTCTTACATTTATCTATTTTTTTAAAGTAGTCCTTGTAGTAGTTGCATATGTTAAAATATATACATGATTAGAAAGAGTATTTTAGAAAAGACAACACTTATTTATTACAAATAACTAACTTAACTAATTTTTTTAGTCTACTCAAATTAGTTAACTAGCTCTTATATTAAAAATTAGAGATAATATTATAGTGTAAAAAAAAAAAGAACCATATTTAAGGGGAAAAAAAACTATTTTTTTGCTTTTCATTAAACCATGATTTAGGTGGGTCAAAGCATGATTTTAGAGTCAAATCATAATTTCATAAAAAATGTGGGGTATTTGACAATTTTTTTAGCCAAACTATGATTTGCGGTCAAAAAGTAATTTTGGCGAGTTTGCCGAATTCCTCAGGGATTGAAGTTCCCCGGCGTCATCTTGTTCTGTGGGTGAGTTGAAAGACATCAGTATCACTGTGGAAAATTGCAACCAGTGATGTTGAAAGCAAGAAAATGCTGTAGCAAACCAAGATAATGTATTCTGAAATGCAAATGCAGCATTGGCACTGAGCGCAAGAAGACAGAGTATAATCGCGGGAAGAAAAGGTGGAGAAGAAGAAACGGTGGTCAGATCCTCATCGCCGGCGGAAATTCTAGTGTTGAGAATCTCCATTTTGCCTCTGTTTCTATCCCAAAGTAATCTCAAGAGATGAGCTACTGATCCTTGCAGCCCAACGTCACCGACGGTCTTCAACGCAATCGCACAGGATCTGGTCGACGGTGGCAAGTGGTCTCTGGCTCAGGCGACTGGAGACTACGGCCGAAGTGATTGACTGGATGTTGTGGCTACAGAGGAGTGATGAGTCGGACGATATTGCACAAAATTTGTCTATCCCAGAGAGTAATGGGCTTTTGATCTATTTATACGAAGCCTTTAACTCTCCCACGGATGAAATGAGAGACGAAACTTATGCAAGATTGAAAGAGGCGTGCTGATCGCCAAACAAGACTAATCGTTATTCCCACCTCTCCCATTTCGCGATTAGGGTTTTCTGCTTACCAAGCAATGCCTAACAGGGTAGTGATTACGTATTGTCTGAGAAAATGTTCATCTCATCGAAGGTAAAATCCATTCAGGTTGGACAAGAGAGATAGATGCCATGAATGCAAAGCAGGAAATTCCTTACTGTTATTTTATAGAAAGAGCACAGTTGGATCACTTGGAATTTCTTATATAATCTTTGGCTTATTATCCAAACAAAGTGTTCTGCCTTTAAGTAAAGATGGCAAATTAAGGGCCTCGCTCAATTCTGATAAGGAGAAAGGACATGTCTTTCTTATCAATTGTTTGATTAAGGAAATGTGTAGTTTTGAACAACATTTTCGGACGCTTAAAAAACACAATTACAACAAAAAGGAAAAGAGAAGAAAGAAAGGCTCAGCTTTATTCCAAGTTTGAAAATGAGTGATAGAGAGAATATGGAGGGGTAAGGACAGTATAGCCTGCAAAATGTCACGCTAAAAGTTTCCTATATCTCTATCAAAATTCTAAATAAGCATGGTGGGGGCAAGGGGATGAATTTAACGCTTGAAATGTAAATGAGAAATTCAAAGGACAGTGGCGGACACAATGAGATGTTGTTGCTGTTAAGAGAAAGAGGCAGAGAGAGTCATTGAATTAATCACCTTCCATTGCATCACAACAACAGCATGAGAACAAGTCTGGTTAAGGTATGGAGGCTTTTCCTTTTCTCCACATATCAACATCCTCATCTATTCTCTTTATATAGGGTCACTTACGTGGCTCTCTCTCTACTTTAAATAATTGAATATATATAATTTTTCTATATCAAATAAATGTGATTGTTGACCTTCTAAATCTTTAAGAAAAGATTACATTGTGATTATTTGTCACTTTCTTCTTCTTTATTTGTTCATACTAATAGTGCATACAATTATCAAGCAAAAAATAAAGGGCTATAATTTAATTCAGTGTACTTATGATGGGATTTCACATGGTTAGTTATTTAGTATATGTAGCAATTACAGGCTTGTTTTTGCATATATGATAATAGACAGAGGGAATGGTTCCCAATTATTTAACTTTTAGTCATCACTGATTAGTACTCCTCTAGTCCTTAATATAAGACCTATTTAACTAATTTGATTAGATTAAGGAAGTTAGGTAAGGTAATTAATTATAAAAAATGTGACACGTTTTTTCTAAAATACCATAATCATCTTTCGTAATACCCCCTCTTCTTCTTCTACTTGATTATGGTTGAGAGAGTATCCATAGGAGTAATTTAGAGCAAATTAATAAATATGAGAAATGGGTCTTATATTTAAGACCAAAACCAACTGAACAATTGGGTCCTATATTAAGGACCAGACGAGTACATTTTATCCTTTACCGTGGCATACATGTGGTTTTAAATTAAGGTCATTTACTATGATTTGTCGTAATATCGCCAGAACTGGTCATTCATCATTAATCTGATCCACAAAATACTTGTTTTCAGTAATAGCATGCCTGTTTTTGTTATTGGGTCATTATCCAAGTTTACACATATAGCCATATATAAAGTAATTTAATAAATGATATGTACAATATAATGACAGTAATTATCATCATTCATTGTTTTTGATATGCCCCAATAAATTAATTCTCCATGTAAAAACTGAAACTCGAAACCAGAAATAACTTTTATATTTGAAATTGATATTTCTGTTTTCACTATGAGGAGTCTCATAGGCCCTTTCCACATCTAATGTTGTCAAAAATTTGCAACAGGAACGCCTCAAACTAAAGTTCACAGTGTCCTTCCTTCTCATTATTCACAGATTTGGCTTGGGATGCAAACAAGTTAGTGCTGTTTAGTTTTTATGTTTGAGAATACTGTTAAATCCATTAAAGTAACAACAATGTAAGTTTTTCATTATTACTGGATTTCCTGTTTTGGCAGGATAATGGACATATGATAGTGTAGATTGAGTGTGAATAAGTGAATTATATGTGTCATTTGTTGCTGACAAAATAAGAAGAACAACATAGGGCCCTCATTTTCCAAAGCAGCCTTTGAATTTCAAGGAAGAGAAAAGCACTGCATGTGATCTCTGCATAGTTGTGAGCAAAATGGTAAGGCTGCCAAAAAGTATTTTTCAAATGACATTAAAGATATTTCATTCTGCAACTGCTATAGCATGAATTCAGGTGTTACCACTACTCTTTTTTTTTCATATACAGGAAACAGGTTTGGCACATTGTGTTATTTCTTCAACATGCAAATCTTAGCAACTTAAAACAGTTTCGGGAAGCAGAGCCAGCTAATAAGGACATCCCCATAAAGAAAAGTTGTAAACTTTGATATCAATTATTGGTGTCATACTGTGGAAGAGTGAAGAACTTAAAGGTCTTACGCAGTGAATGCATAAATAGGAAAGGAGAGCAAAGCCAGAGAATAAATATCCTCTGTCAAAAAAAACACACCAATTCCCTTATTTGTTTGGACAACATAGTTTGTCCACATTACCCTGCCTGCGGAATCTGACTTCTTTGATACTCTTTTTAAGCACCCATTTCAAGCAGTGCCCATGCCTTTGATAATAAATATCACAAGTTTGCCCCCCTCTCTGTCACTCTGTCTAAACATATCTTTGGTTTGAAAAACAAAAAGCCAATGAAAGGTATGGTTTAAAACGTTTCTTGATAACATCCATCGTCATAAAGACATAACGCACACGAAAATCAGTGGAGGACATTATCGTAAATTCAGGTGGAGTGCAAGCGTATTTCCTTTCCCAAAGTGTTAAAGTGTATACAGATTGAACCGAAGGTTTGTATTTATGTGAATTATTAAGCGTATTATGATTCCCTAATTCAAGTACCAAAAAATTCCAGCCTTTGAACAAATTATTTTAATCCTCCAGTAACAGTGCCAAGTCAGTACTTGGTTGAGAGAAAAACCCGCACTTATGGTCAGTTTTCTTTGAGCCTAGAAAGCAGAAACGGTTTTCACATATTGCTTTGTTTGAAAATCTTACTTCAGTGTCGTTTTGTAGTGAGATTAGTGGATATAATGCATCCAAATGCTTAAAGACAGAGAGCTTATACAAGAGCACTACTGCAGCAATAATGTAATAAAAGCTTAACAGTTTCTGAAAAATTACGAATAATTAATGAAAAGACAGTAGAAAAGAACAAGGAAATTGCAGTTGAAAGGGCGGGAGTTGGTTAAATACTTTTTATCTCATAGAGAAGAAAAGCTAAATGGAGAAAGGGATAAAAGCAGAGAAAAACAGCGAAGGGTGAGAAAAGAGGGTTGGGGTAGTTTTAGTTAATATGGGCTTGGGAATAGTTGAAAGACAGAAGAAAGCCTGCAAGAGAATCCGAGACCCAAACATGGAAAAGCTTATGAAGCCACGACTCTTATAGATTCACTCTTCAAAATTTTTTAACCACTTCCTTCACTGTTCAAAACACCTTCTTTCATTTGCCGTACCATACCATTCACTTTTTCCACTATATGCCTACTGTCTCTTCTCTAGCTACCTCCCTCTCTCAACACCACATTACAATTCAGAAGAAAATAAAGAATAAAAAATAAAAGGGTATGTTACACAGTTACAGTGACTTTATCTGAGACAAAATGAGATGAAGTGTTGGTATTTGTTTAGCTTAATGTTTACGTTCTAGGTACAATCCTCCTGGATATTGTAAAACCTATTATTGGTTCATAGCTTCACAATCTCTTCTCCAAAGGGTCAGTTTCTCAGAAAGAGAGAGAGGGAGGGAGGGAGGGAGGCAGAGGTAAAGGGAGAGGAAGGTAGGGAGGAGGCAGGGAGAGAGGGAGAGAGAAACGGAAAAAGAGGGTGTCAGTCATATATATCTGAAATTATCCCACTTCTTTCTGCTGTAGGGTTTCAGAAGGAATTTTCTTCTATGTTCATGGAGAGGAAGAGGAACAAAACCCAGCTTCGTTTCGGTGTCTTTTTCTTCTTCATCTTCTCAAATTTCACAATCTTCAGCTCTGCTATTACAGGTCAAGGTATGCAAATCCACTTTCACGGTTCCCCACATATTGTTCTGCTTAACACTTTCAGATATTTTCATTTCTAACTCGCATATATTCCTTCTCTAATGTAGATACTAAGAGGTGTCCATGCTAGCTGATGCAGATTTCCAGGTTAGTTGGTATTATTATTTGTACAGCATGAGTCAGAGCCTGTTTTACCAATCAGAAGTTTTTATTATTAGTACAGAGTAGTGGGTGTGCTCTGTAATTTTTATGCTTTCTAGTATGATTCCAATAATCATTCTTTTCCTTTTCTTGGCCCATCTGAGTTTAGTCCTGGTTATTGAATAGGTGGAGAAATAAAGGGCAACTTCAATCAAGCTATAATGAAGTTTAATGATTAAGAAAGAAAATCTTGTGGGGGATAAAACCAGTAACTTTCTGTTTTTATATATGCGACATAAAAAGAATGGTAATGTAATATTAAACAGGTTTTGTTCGTCTGGGTGCATGTCACTTGGGGAGGAGGAAGAAAACATGGTGTAATTAAGTGAGTGCATGTAATAACCTAGAGTTAGTTTGCAAATCATATGTTCTTCTGTTGTAGTTAGTCTGCAAATCATAGGCTCTTCTGTTGGACCCCTTAAAATTTAGTTTGTATTTGGCATAAGAGAGAAAAGAGTTATTCCTCTGCAATATTTATAATTATTACTCAATTCTTTTCATTAGTTTTAAGTAATTTTTTCAGACTTAAAAGAGTTTTGGTGATGCATGAAGTCCACGATGATAAGATAGCACACGTGGGAGGCGGTCATGCACGTGGTTCCACATGTATTCATTTAATTTTTTTCATAATTAAATTTTAATTTCTTAGGTAATATTAAAAGTTTGTGTTTTTAAAACTTTTCAGAATCATATGGACTCTACATACACTACACTAGCACACTAGATTAGAGTTCGCATGATTGTAGGAAGCCATTTATTAAATTAGGCTGGTTTGTCTGCCCTTTTTTCAAATAGGTTGGAGTTAATAAGAACCTTAAATTTGTAAACCATTTATGCATTATCCATGCCACTTTTTTCCTGATAAATGTGATTGAGCAGAAGAAATTTGAGGAGAAAATTGGAGAAATTTCACTTTCAAGGAGGTTTCTGGTTGGCATAGGGTCATCACCACCACGGTGCAGCTCCAAGTGTGGCAGATGTACACCATGCAGGGCGGTTCATGTGCCAGTGCCACCCGGAACTCCGGTAACTTCCGAATATTACCCCGAAGCATGGAGGTGCAAATGTGGCAATAAGTTGTACATGCCATGAATACATATTGCGTATATATATTATTTCGTTATATCTATATCGTAGCACTCCATTTACCTTACTGACCATATAAATGGACTCTTCAGTTGTTTCAGTTTTAGTTTGCCTATGGTAGATATCTGTTATGGTAAAAATACAGCATGACTCAGTTTTAACAATATTATTCATGTCATTAATACTTACATGTCTATTATACGTACTTTTGGAGTTGATGTTTTATCTTGTCTGAACGTTTAAAATTTGGGTAGAAATGCTGGATTATATGGAAGAAAAATGTACGAAATATTCTAAGAAGTAGAATTCATATTTTCTTCTAGGAAAAAAAGTTAAAGTAGTTCTTTTTAGCTTGTGATTTTCTTTTTCTTTTTGCCATCTCCTTTTAGCTTGTGATATTATTTGTAGGCTTGATTTAATGACCAGAAAATAAAATAACCTAACAATGTTTTTATACTAAGTTCCCCCCCTTCCAAGCTTCATACTGAAATTTTCTTAGTTACCTATTGATCACAAATAAAATAAAATTCAAAATTGTTTGGTTTGACCAGAAACAAGTAGGAAATGGTCAAACAGAAGGAGCAAAAATAGGACCCGGTGGTCAATCTTCGGAAAGTGATGCATGCTGTTGCTGATAAAGAATAAATTGAATTCAAAGTTTCAAACTTTAAGATCTTGACAGCTTGCGTTGTACAGTACCATTTTATCATTCGCCATCCAAAAAATTTAGGTTTATGATGTAAATTTATTAGGAGAGTTTCTGCTTAGAAATATTAGGCATGCGAAAGTTTTTAAGATACCGATTTATCTTAAAAATTTAAAATCATAATATTTTTTTTATATTAAAAATATTAATATTCAATGTTGCTATTTTAATATTAAATAAAAACTTTTGAGAAAAATTTAGATCACTGTATTCACACAATCCTTGTCGACCAAAAAAATAAACCCCAAGTGTTAACAGTGCCTAGCCCGGGTCTTTTGATTTAGTCACACTGAACTCTTTCTCCAAGTCTTTATTTAGCGTAAGGTTGTGAGTTTAATCTTTTATAATTATCATGGGTGTGTAAATTCTTTTCATCGGTGACACAAAAATTAAATGTTAATAGTGCCTCGCCCAGCTTTTCTAATTCAGATGGTGTTTGGATGAAAATCAAATTATAGTTTTAAAACTAATTTTATAATATATAAAATAAGTATGTAAAAAAGAATTTTATTTTGATTTATATAAAAATATTTTTAAAAAATGCTTATTAGAACATCCCCTGAAAGTTTCTTTAAACACTTTCTTTAGGTCCCTTTTTCTCGTAATATATGGCAGCTTAGTTCAACAGGGGACAAACCGTATATCAATATCCCGACTCTAAAATTGTTTCCTCAGCTATAAATCATAGTAACTTGTTTGGCATGACATTATATGAATCCACACTAATTTTTCTCTCATCAAAAGTCATTATGGCCAACATGTAATATTTAGGGCTAGTTTAAAATAATTTATAACTAGTTTTTCAATCATAATTTATAAAATAAAAAATAAGTATGTAAAAAAAATTTTATCTTAATTTATAGAAAATATATCTTAGAATGGCTAATAAAAAAATGAGTTCATGAATAATTGAGGTTGAAACTTTTTTTTCTTTTACTTGTTGACTTTTAATGAGAAAAATTTATCTAATTTTCTCTCATAAAACATAAAACGCGTTCAATCAATGGGCATAAATACATTGCATTTATATGAATTTGTTCATGACAATTTTTTAACCAACCAATTTGATCATACATACTAATTGAATCCTTACATGGGTACTGCTTATTATATTCAAACAGGAACCGTGAAGGTGCCACGTAAATGTGATGGGACATAAATGGGCATGGTGTGAGCCTCGTACGAAAAAGCATGTAGTGTAGTCAACAAACCCAGACGTGGGACCCGACGTAAGTCAGACAGTCACTATACAGTCACTTTCTCTCGTCATTTTCGTTCGTCTTCTCCCTCTTCATGCTCTCTCTCTCTCCCTGTTAACTTTTTCTTTTGGGGTCACTGTTCTCAAATTCAAACCAAACGCAGCTTCGTTGCTTTGCCTTTGAACACGGCTTCTTCTGAAACTATTCCTCCCAGTGGCAACATATTCACTCAACCCTTCCTTCCTTTGGATCCGAACACTCCCATTAAGGCCACCGTCTTCATCACTCACGGCGACAGCTCTGACACCGGTTGGTCTTTCAAAAGAGCTGCATCCACTACGCCGCCAGGGGCTGCGCGGTATTTGCCGCCGACTTCCTCGGCCACGACAAATCCAATGGCATTCGATGCTACCTCAGTAACATTGAGAAGGTCGCAGCCACTTCCCTCTCATTATTTCCTCATGTTCGCTGTACAAGCATCTTCCTGCTTTCCTCTTTGGCGAGTCCATGTTGGAAAGGAAGATATTCCCGTAGCTTTGAGAACAGAAAGTAGCGTTTCTCAGAAGAAAAAAGTTAACGACAAGAGAGAGTTTGAGAAAAAGATCAAGGGTGGAGAGGAAGAAGATGGACAAAAAAGAGAGTATGAAGTATGAAGGGAATGAAGAGGAAGAAAAGTTAGCAAGGGGGAGAGAGTATGAAGAGAACGAAGATGAAGAAGAAGGGGTCAGTGAAAAAGTTCGGCACGCGGTTCCAAAAATTAAATTATTAATCTAAAATAATGGTAAATTTCATGGCTGACACACAAGCTTATAAAGTAAGGTTAAAATTAGTGACATGGCATATTTTTATTGGTTAGAGGAGGAATGACGTGGTCTCCACACCATACAGCTACCAGATAAGATTTTACGGCCATCGATCGAGCGGCGAGCTCTCAAATTAATTGTCTGAGTTGACTCTATATGGTATACAGCTCATTTCTCTCTATGAGGAGTTTCGTAAATGGCTTTGTTGTTTCTTCAAGACTCCCTTGATATGTTTTTATAACTCTTAAATCTGTTTTAGTTGAATGAGGAAACTCGTGACACTTGTAGGTTTATTTTTTTTGTCCTTTTATCTTATAATCTTGTTGATGTCTTGCTCGTGAGGAAAATGATTTTATTTAATATGTCTTGACTTCAAAAGATAGAACTTGAATTTCAATTCTCTTAATTTGGTGGGCTCTCTATGGTAACTAAAAAAAAGAGCTTTTAAATTTAAATGATAGTAGATAAAAAGATAATATTTTAAATTTAAATAAAGATATAATGGTTGGATAAATTGGAGTTAGGGTTTAGAAAGATGATAAAGATAATAATGTGGATACTTGAAAAATTAAATGGATAATGGATGTATAGTGGATATTGTTAGTGGTAATTTCACCCAAGATGGGGTGAATTGGGTTAAATATAAAAATTTGATATAATAAATAGTGAAGCAAACAAAACATAGGAGATTTAGTTAGGAAGATTTGACGGAAAAATGAAGACACGGAGTTTATACTGGTTTGGTTTCAACCACTTGACCTACGTCCAGTCCTCAGAACACTTTTGAGATTTTCACTATGTTCCCAAGATTAATCGAGCTCTTGGTGCCTCAGTGCAGTAATTGAATTTCTCAATCATTCTTCTTTATTACTTGTAAGATTACAATCCCCTTAAGAGTCCACACTCTTGAGTTACTCTCAGAAAATGAGTAATGTAAAATGTATCAATCTCTCTTACAGAGTATATAAACATTAAAGGCTGAAGTTCGGTAAAACAGAGTATTGAATGTAACAGTAAATTTTCAACAGACAATAGCTCGAGCATTCAATACTTTATTCAATGTCATTCGTGTCTTTTATAGTTGGAGAAATTTAATTATCCGTTAGATTGAAGAGCTTCTAACTGTTGGAAGATCGCTTGCGTGTGTTCAGCAGTTACAACAGTTGTTCGTCATTAACGCTTCTGACACGGTAGATTACAGGCTACTGAATAACCATTGAGTTTTGTAATATGCATAAGTCTTTTGATACAAGTAAATCTTCTTCTTAAAGGCAGTTGGTAAGGGTAACAAAGTAAGTGATGATTATGATATTGATACAATAGATTGAAAAGTATAGAATCAATCATTAGATACTTTAAAAGTAATCTTGAACTTACTTGATTGATGTCTTGATCGATAACTATTTGATCGATCAAATTATTGATTACATATCAGAAGAAAGATTGAATCAGATATATACATTTATCAAATAGATTATGGATCATACAATGATCGACTATATGATCGATAAATGACGAAATATGAATACAATGAGCTCTAAATGAATCATGCAAGAATAATCTTTTTCAAGTTAAGTTTACCTTCGTTCCTTTCAATAGGGAGTTATGTGTCAAAGGAAGGCTGAGAAAAGTTTAAAGATAAAGAGATAAAAGATTTTGAAGATTATCATAAATAGCTGTTGTGAAAAGAACTAGTTCAATTATCGAACAAATGATTGAAAAAAATTTGATCGATCATATTATTGATAAAACTAAATATGAAAGAAATATATTTTCAAAATGTGCTGATTAAATACCTTATCGATAAATGGTTAGTAGGAAAATTGATCGGAAAAAGATTTTTAAAAAACTTTCACAGTGAAATGACAGAATAGATGCTGATCGATTAATGATTAACCGATTAAGTGATCGATGAATGTTTATTGAAAGATATTTTCAGAAAAGATTAGGGAAAGACCTTGATTGATCAAGTTATGTGAGAACAAAGAGAAAAGGTCAAGATGATCGATCATTTTATCGATAAGTGAATGATCGAACTATTGATATGAAAATGTTCAAAACAGATATGTGCAGTGAAGGTATTGATGATCGATCACTTGATCGATAAATGATTGATCGATTAAAGATCTTGAAAGAATATTTTGACACAACATATTATCGAATATGCAGAAGTAAATTACCATGTATTGTTGGAACAAGTTATCGATAAAAATATGATCGATTAAGTGATCGATAAATGACGAATTGTTCAGAGTATAAAGCAAATGGGAAGACTTTACCATTTATTTGAGCTTTCGTCGATAACATCTTTATCGATCAAGTGATCGATAAATGCTTTCAAATACCTTACTAAGATTTTGTGCCTTTTTCTGATAGTTGATTGAACACTCGATTATCGATCAATTGATCGATAATTTTCTGCAAGCTTTTATATTAAACA